TGTATACTTCTTCCTAAATTGGCAAAAGTTGGGCAACTCTAGGTCTTCAACTTTGTTGAACCAGGCTGCATTCGTATCATATAAACAAACATATGCAGCTCCGATGGAGGACGACGACGATGTTCTGTGTACAGTCGCAGAGTATCAATAGGATCTTGGAGAGGCTCAGATCAAATCGATAAATACGTTATTTTCATAGGGATGTGAGAATTTCGGTTTTTCAAATGCGGATTGTTTATAAGCAAGGTTAACCTAGTTACCACGTTTTGGCCAATTTGGATACTGACTCGCATAGTCTTAGTACATCATACGTTTTGACGTAGGGGGAAGGGGGAGATTGTGAGAGGGAAGAGCAGCAGGGTCGCACTGGCTCATTTATCGCTTTTGGAACCTAATATATCGGTTATTTCAAAGCTTTGGTATGCAGGGTGTTTCAAGTTCGACCCTCACCACTGATATATCGGAAACTGTAAGAGATACGAACTCGCTTAAATGGAGGCAAAGCTGCGTATTTAGGTAATCAACAAAATGTCGCTTAGAAAATTCAAAATATTTCCGGAGAGAGACCGGATTTTCCCAAATTCGATAAAATTTTTCCTGACTTTATTTGTAGTGGGACTTGCACATTGACTTGCTACTTTTTCTCCCCTTCAAGAAGTCATAATTAGAATTTTAATATGATGTTTCGTCTCTTGTCCGCAGCATCAACTTTATTTTTTTTATGGACGCCATATTGGATTTTTACACAGATTAAAGTTTTTGAATCTGATTCCAAAAATAAATAAAACATACATCATAATCGCCAAACCTTAGTTATTTAAAAAAGGGAATTTCCTAGTTAGGCCTTGAAATTATCAGATTTGTTTCGCATACCAGATTCATTCCAAAATCACCTTTATGTTTTCCTGACTTTGTTTGAGATAGAATTTACAAACGAATTGCATGCTGTCAATGTTACTCATTCTCCTCTACAATATAGCGTAGTACCAAATTTCCATTTCAACATTTCTTCTTTCGATTTCCAGCACGAACTTTGTTTTTTCATATGGACGCATCTTGGAATTTTGTACATTTCAATCGACTTTTCAGTCCTAAATTCGGCGATTTATTTCATTAGTTGGCGATGAGATGAAAATTATAAGGTGATAAAAGATGTGAAACCTGAAACAAAATGAGCAGAGGTAAATCATTGCAGATATTTAAAATGTTGTCCTTTATTTTGTAGACAAAGCCTGACTCTTCTCTGTACATTGGTCGCAGCTCGATCTATTTCTCTTCCTCGCAACAAATGAAATCTGATAATTTCAAGGCCTTCCTAGTAACTTCTGTTTTTCTGGAATAACTAAGGTTTGAAAACATTGTTGTATGACGTATTATACATTTTTGGAGTCAGAATTAAAAACTATTCATCTGTGCAAAAATCCAATACGTGGTCTATAAGAAAAAATAAACTTGATGCTAGAGGACAAGAGAGGAAACGTGATATTGGAATTCTTATAATGCCATCCTGTAGAGCAGCAAAAGTTACGATGTGCAATTTATTTTGAAATCTCACTACAAATAAGGTGAGGAATAAATAAGAACGATGTTGGGAAAATTCGGTTTTTTTCCGTCTCTCCCCGGAAGTACCTTCAATTTTGAAACTTTGCCCCCATTCAAGCGACTTATATTATATTTCTTACAGTTTCCGAGATCCCAATGGTGAGGGTCGAATTTGAAACACCCTGTATATGTTACTAAAAAACATGCTTGATCTATACGCTAGTAAAGGAAAGTCCTGACGAACAAGTGAACAAGAGGTAAAGTGTATTTTATCAATTGGCATTCTGGACTTTAAATCCCATTTTCCATTCAACGGACTCCTATACGCCCTAGGCCAATAAAGTGACTTTAGCGCTTCTTGAATTAATTTATCTTGAGTACAATAAGGCGACCAAGGGACTGTTCCCTATGTATTTATTCCTGGGCAAAGGCGCAACTATCGGTGATACAATGGTGCGGTTTTTGATTGTAGTTATTTGTAGATAGTTTTATATAGGTATGTCGGACGTAATAAGTGTTTGTGCCCCTTTGTGTGTTGAAGGCTGCAGAGTTTCACGCCTTGCGCCGACAACCGAGTTACGCCGTTCATACTTAAAGAAATATAAATAAATACTCTTGCCAAAATAATAGCCAGGAATTCAAAAAACGTACTAGTCTCGGATCCCATGTGCGAAATTTTCTCCATACTATCTTGGTAGATACAAATTCGGTAAGTTATATAGAGAACTTGTCACCGTTAAATCATAAGTCTGCAGATGAAATGACTAGATTTACGAAAAAGTTAGGAGTTACCAATATCATTCAAACAGGATGCATTCAAGCCTACTAAGCTTGTATCAAATAGGGATGGCCTATTTTCAAGATTTTTGACTTTGTTGGCAAAAGAAGTTCCACAAAAGAAGTTTGATCCAACGACACAGTATTTCAATGCCTAAGTATAGTTGTAGTCACCGTTCTTGGCGGGTCAAAGTACGACTACCAGTATCCCTTTATATATCTCTATCTCCCTCATACATACACATGCAACCTACCCTGTGTGTGAACGTTTGTTCGGTACGTTGTGCCCTTCAATCATATTTGTCAGAGTGATAACTTACTTGACATCGGCGTGCAATTTAAGTTGTCCTGTTATCAATCTTCAATACAAAACTGTACAATACCCGGAAATACGATCAATAGAGAAGATCGACAGCTGGTGCTAAATTTATTAGATTATTTTCAGGAAGAGAAAGAAAACAGAGTTTCCCTGTTACACACTTCATGCGTACTGGAGAGAGTAGCAGATGTGCTGAAGATTAAGATCCGCCCATGGTACGGAGACTCGATCTGTTTACTTATTTCGTATGGCGTTGATGACGTAACTGTCAAGGACGGTGATTACAACTATACTAAGGAATCTTACGTATGGCAGCAGGAAACTACATGTTTCCGACATTCAGTGCATTTTTTGAGGCATGATATTTCTGAAAAAGGTCAAGATTTTTTCCACCTTGCTTTACCTTCAATTTTCAAGGTCAAAAACTGTTTTTTAAATGGAAGTCCCCTTTTTCGAAATCAAATATAGGAGTCATCTCTGAACGTTAAATGTAGGTCAAATGTGTTAGGTTAGGGATAATACTAGAGCGCAAATTTTGCATCATCGGTGTCAGAAAGGGAAGTTCGCAATAAAAAAGGTTGATCTTGAAATGTCTTTGAAAGTGAGAGTAAAGATTGAAGTCAAGGTCACAGTTGAATTCCTTGTATGTTACTACATATCTGTACTTAATATCAACAATAATCCCACTAAGCTCCAAAGAAATTTCCTAGCCTCACACATTAATTTGTGGTTCGCGCGATGGATAGAAGTGATCTTGATCTTAGATTCTTATACATATTCCGACGAAGAATTTTTCGCTCTTTCGATTGCCGGAACCAAAAAGGGTATTTTCATTTGAGGGAAATATAGTTTTTCAGAAAAGGTAATACTGCCGATATCGCAAACTATCGCCGTATATAATTACTTCCTGTTCTCAGCAAAATTAATGAAATATACTTGGTAGAAGGAATCGTCTTACATTTTGAAAATGAAAACATATTCAATTTAAACCAGTTTGAGTTTCGACGTCGAAAACACACAACCTTCGCAGTTTTTAAGTTGGTCGATGACATAGTTGATCCTTTCGAAAAAAAAATAGTGCTTGCATACCATATTCTGTGATCTCAGCAGGGCATTCGACTGTGTACCACATAGCACTTTAATCATACAGCTCATAATATATAACCTTGAGACAACTTCTTGGAACCTGATCGATTCCTATTTAAGCAATAGATAATAATTGGTAAAAACTGGAAATAAGACATCAGATGAGAATTATATTGAACACGGTATACCCAAGGGTTTAGTACTTGAACCGATTTTATTTCTGAAATATTTCAATGAGCCGTATTCATAAAACAAAGGACATCCTTGTACTTGCAAATTTTGAAGGAAATTCTCCAGATGGTATTTATAATAAATTAAAGTAAATGCTTTTGCTTTTTGAGTATAAGCATATGCTTCAAAGCAGTGACATAAGTAAATGGATCTTCATAATCTTCACCTTATACTTGGCAAAGAAAGCATATCCTTCAAAAATTCTGAGTGTGGTCAGTAGCAGTGGCGGCTCGTGCCAATTCCGTGAGGTAGTGCCAGAATGGAAGCCATAATTTTGAATCGATTCAAAATTGTAAAGAATAACTTATAACTTACCCCTGATAGTTAGTGGTCAAAGTTCTTGAGGTTCAATAAATCTATATGTCCAAAAAAAAATCAAAAATAAAACTATTTACACACGCGCACCAAATTATAAAACAAGTGTGGAGAAGTACCTATAACTATAGTTTTCTATATATGAGGTCCATTCTTCTTTCTTTTTTGGTAGCAAAGTTTTCGATTACCTTATTATTAAAATATTCAATGCTACTAACAAAATGTTTTTCTGCAGACAGCATTCCTAAAGCACTAAGCCTTTCTTCCTTCATTGTGTTTCTGAGGAAAGTTTTAATCCGTTTCAGCATTGAAAAAGAGCGTTCTGCTTCAGATGTTGACATCGGTATAGTGATTAAATTCTTAAGAGCTTAAGAGTTTCTTGAAACGTACAATTTAATCCTTCCTCGTTCAATAAAATGGATAGTGGAACAGCTCCAGAAGTAGTACTCAATTCTTCTCTCTGATATAATACTTGTAACTCAGTTTTAAGCCTGTTTTTGTCTAAAAATGAAAATTGTGTGCATGTGTCATTTGAATGTGCTTCGGGAAACTGATGTTTATAAACAGAAAACTTTTCAGACACAAATAAATTAGAAGCAACTAAATGCCCAGAAAAGTTAAATCTTGTTCTTATTTGCGATAATACTGCATCGCATATTTCTAACGCTTCCCGTTTTTTGCTGCCTTCTTCAACTTGCCTTTTTTTTCTTGCCGGTTCATCAGTTTCTCTCTACACTCGTTCAATATCGTCAATAATGCTATCCATTTGTTCTCGTATAGTTTGAATTGCTGCTTCAAAATTCTCTAAATCATTTTTGACCTTAACAGAATCGGTGCATACTTTTTGTAATTGGTTAAAGACAATTTCAACATGTGGCATTATTTTATGGAAAATACTTAGCCAAAATACAAAATTTGTATCTTGCAGCTTTAATTTGTACCCACTGGCTTGATTAATCGACGAAGAATCGCGTGAAGTACTTTCTATATTGTCCATAACTTCAATCAGGTCTTTCCTATTTTCATAAACTGTATGAACACCTCGTGACTGAAAATTCCAACGTGTTTGGGAAGATCTTGGCAATCTGCGATTAACTATTTCATCCAAAATTTTTGTTCTTTGAGGAGACGTCGAAAAAAAAGAGCACAATCCAGATAAATTATGGAAAAATATTCTAGCCTGCTTATTGACAGAGCATGCGCTTGTCATAATTAGATTTAACTGGTGTGCATAGCAATGAACATAATTTGCAAGTGGATAAGTTTCCTTAATAATTTTTTGAACGCCATTCAATTCACCACTCATAACAGACGCACCATCATGGCTTTGAGCTATTAATTTGTTTGGATTTTGATCTAGTAATGGATTTACAACATTTAAAACGCATGCAGCGATTGATTTGGCATCGTGTCCGTCGGGGACGTAAAATCTCCAAAATCTCTCAACTGGTTGTCCTTTACACAAATATCTGAAAATAATAACTAACTGAAATTCACAGGCTACGTCCGTCGTTTCATCGGCAATTACTGCAACAAAAGGAGAATTTGCAATCTCCTTCTTAACTTCTTCATGATAAACATCTAGCATGCACTCAAGAAGCTCGTTTTGAGTTGTTTTTGAGGTACCCTCAAAAAGTTTGGCACTTTGAATATGGACTTTCAATTCGTTGTCTAATTCGGCGCTAAAATTCACCAGCTCCTTAAATATGCCTCTGTTTTCCGAATTTTCCTTTTCATCATGACCCCTTAAGGCTAACTCAAATGCTCCACAAAACCTTATACAATTAATAATTTTATTCAATACATATCGATTCTTATCCACTTGATTATTATGTTTAATTAGATCATTGCGATAAGCCGAATTGAGTTGAGTCCTTATATTTAATTTACCAAGAATAGAAAAGCTAAAAACATTATTCATATGGACTTTAGATTTTTCGTGGGTCTTCATTTTATCCCATATATGTATAAGATCGTCTGTACCTTTTTTTGACCAAGTCTCGTCACCTCCAAATAGAACACATACAAAACAAAATAGTTTATTCGTTTCTTCACAACCACATATACAGCTGTTTTTATCGTACACATTTTTATTAAATTTGCGACAGCGCGATTTTTGTCCGCTACCACTTTGTTTCTCAATTTTTAAATCGGGTATTGGCCGTCCTAATTCTTTAATTTGCAGTTTTTGATCCAGCGAAAAACCACTAAGTGAGTTTTTTAATATCCCGATTTTATTCATTTTCACTAGTTTTAATAAAACAGTAAAAAATATGATCACAAAACAGAGCAGTTCATTAACACTAGACGTACAAAAACAAAAACGTTATTTCTCACTTTTCAGGTAAAAAAAGACCGAAATCAGCACTATTGTTGGACCAGCGAAAGATTGCAAGCCGAAAGAATGCGGACAAAAAATTGCGAAGTTGTCAGATGTTCTACATAAAATGCGGTCCATACATATTAACATATTTAAGATATAGAATTGTTCCGCTGAATTTGGCAATGTAGCTGGAAAACCCAGGCCGCAGGTAAACATCCGGTCGCTGATTGGTCCAAAACTCTTATCTTATCTGAAACTAGAATAACGTGCCGATGGCACGGTCATTTATAAACCTACTCCCATAGGCGTAGGCAGTTGGCAAATACTTTGAAAATATAATTTACTGTTTAGTGGTGATAATGGAATTCAAGCATGGGAAAGTTATTCACAGCCAGGCAAGGGAAATAATAGCAAACGTGATACGTGCTTGCGATGCAGAAGCGGCTAACAATACTTTCGTTTATCCACTGGTAGCTAGAAATGCAAGGGCGGCATATTATACGGGTGTTAGTGAACGAACTATAAGTAAAATTAGAAAAGAAGATAAAGACAGGCAAAATGCAACCTCCACACAGCCTTTAGCTTCTCCCGGAAAAAAGAGATCACGCCCTTCTGTGATCCAAAAAATTGATGGAGTCGATTTTTCCATTATTCGGAGAATGATAGAAAAATTTTACTGTGATTTTAAAGTGGTACCTACTTGTAGTAAACTTCTAATCAAACTGAAGGAAGAAATGGAATTTCCATTTGGTAAAGAATCGTTGAGGCTGCTTTTAAAAGCAAAAGGATTTTACTGGCGTAAATGCCACAACAAAAGGAAATTACTAATGGAAAGACCCAGTATTTTACATTGGCGATACAAGTATCTTAGGTCTATTAAAAAGTTCCGGGAAGAAGGAAGGCATATTATTTATTTGGACGAAACTTGGGTTGATAATGACCTCACTTTCAAGAAATGCTGGCAAAGCGAAGAAATTATGGGTGTCCTGAGCAATATAAGTTCTACAGGTAATAAAGTTTCTTTCACCTCGATTTTGCTTATTATACATTTTTCTCAATTTTGGAATATTCTTAATAAGTGCTCATTTAATTTGTCTAATTGAATACATAATCCCTTGCAAGTATTTTTTTCTCAAAAATATGTTTTTTATACATAGTGATTCAAAAAGGTGTTGGCAAACTTAAAATAACACTAAAATGAGGCTATTTATTCATTTCCAGGACGACTTATAATTGTTCATGCGGGTTCGCAAGATGGTTTTGTTCCTGGAGCCTGTCTCATTTTCAAGGCTGGCTGTGCCACTGGTGATTATCACGGTCAAATGAACCAAGAAAATTTCACGAAGTGGCTTACTGAAAAACTATTTCCTAACATTCCTCCTAATAGTATTATAATAATGGATAATGCACCTTACCATTCAGCTTTGGAAGACAAGCCTCCAACTAGATCTTCTCTAAAAAGAGACATCATCACGTGGTTGAGCAAAAAAGGTATAGAGCATGATCCTAATGCTAAAAAAATGGAGCTTTATGAAATAGCTTGTCTACATAGGCCACCATCTGATGAGAAAAATTATAAGATAGATAATTTAATAAGAAGTTTCGGACACACCCCACTTCGAACGCCACCCTATATGTGTCAGTTTAATCCCATAGAGATGATTTGGGCACAAGTAAAATTTTTCATTAGAAGCCATAATACAAGCGGCGAATTTACTATAAAAAAACTAGATGAAATTTCTAATAAGGCCATCGCTTCAGTAAGTGCCAGTGACTGGCAAAAGGTTATTGGACATGTTATAAAAATTGAAGATGAATATTGGGAAAAAGACAGTCTCATTCAAGAAATACAGGAAGAAATAATAATCAACATAGGAGGTGAAAGTGATAGCAATGACAGTTCCTCAGACAGTGATCATGACTCTAATCAGGATTGAAACTATACTAGATTGGCTACCTTTTAGAATTTTTAGATATTCATTTATTATACTATTGGTTTGTGGCTTTTAGTATCTCAGTAGAAAGTCTAATTCTATGTGTTGTTTATGGGTTATTTCATCAAGAAATTACTTTTTGTTTTCCTATATTTTTCTATTCAGTCAGATATTTTTGACTTGTTGTATTCTATTTTAGAAGAATGCATAATTTGTTTTGCTGTTCAATCATAATGCGTACATAGGAATATTACTTGTTGCCTAAAAAATATATTTATTTTGTTCTCAATATTCAGTGTTTGTGTATATTTATTTCTTATAATGTATGTTTGGTATCACGTCATTATGAATCGCAAAAAAATATTAATACTACCAGTTGTAATAAAATATAAATTCAATTAATAATTCAAGTCTCTCCGATCTCCGCCTATGACTCCATATAAAATCGTCTAATGGTAAGGTTTTTTCATCGCATTTCCCCCTTTCGTCCCTAGCAATCTTTGGCTGGTCGATCAATAGACGTAATCATAACCAAACGACCGACCGAACAAAAACACCGCCGATATCATTTGATAACGAATTACGACTGATGATGTGCCTGGCACAAATTATACTTGTCTTTCGCTATTCACCTCATATAAACATGTCATGCGTAGCGTTATCTCTGTCGCTCGTATGCGATGCTGGTAAAATTTCCCTCTTTTTATTTGGACCGGCCCTAAATTGGCACAAGTTGATGACGTCAAGGTCAAGGCATGCTCGTCTCGTCGCGTCGATCGGGTGCTTGCGGTGTTGTCACGTTGTCAGTGTTGTCACTTCATATAATTTATACCAAAAAAAAAATGAAAAAGCAGAAAATAAAGTAAAACATTGAAGATTGAAAAAAATATTCTTTTTGAAGAAGACAAGGTAGTGCCATGGCACCGTGGCACTACCTCACGAGCCGCCACTGGTCAGTAGCAGACTCAACTTCGTAACGAAAGGTGGTCAAACGATGATGGCGGAAATTGTGGATGTTAGGGATGTTAAAACGTACAAACCTCGTTTAGCTTCAGTTGGTCGTGACTTCAAAAAATTATATCGATTCGATGAAGCAAATGTACAATGGCTTGCGGACAGATTTTTAGTTGAGAATGAGGAAACTTGAGGAGGAGCACTTTCATGTATTCATAAAATGAAGATATGCCTACGCTAACTCGGTGACCCTGGATATCAACAAGGTATTGGTCAGGAACTTGGTGTTAGTCAAGCAACGGTATCTCGGACTGTGGATAGAGTTGTGAACAGCATAGTTGCACAGTCGAACGAATGGATCAAGTTTCCAACTACCAACCATAAACTGATGAAGGCCAAGTAGATATGGCAAAGCATGGATAAATTTTCGACAGCAATTGGTGTAATTGATTTTACACATATAGGAATCCTGAAACCAAATCGCCATCGAGATGAGTATATCAACCTAAAAGGGAAACCTACTTTAAATGTGCAAGCCACTTGTGATGCCAGAGAGATGTTCACAAGTATTGATGTCAGTTGGCCTGGATCAGTGCATGATTCCAGAATATGGAGAAATTCACAGACTAGATCACAACTAATAAATAAAGCAAATTTTGTACTACTTGGCGATGACGGTTATGGTATTGAACCATGCCTGATGACTCCCTTCAGAAATCCTACTTAAGGTGCAGAAATGAATTATAATATGCTTTTAAAACAAGAAAGAGTTATATTGAACGCTGTTTCGGACAACTGAAACGTTGGTTTCCTATCCTACAGTATGTTTGCTGCGTAAAGTTGGAAAATGTACCGAAAATAATTATTGCTTGTATTGTACTCCATAATGTTGGAAGAGCTTGGGCGATCCTGACTTTGAGTTAGTTGGACAAGACCCAGATGAAGATGAAGGAAATCATTTGAATGACCTCTCCGCCAACTAGGTCAACAAATAAGAAGAAACTTGAGTATTATAATAAATAGTTTTACTGATATAAGTGTATTTATAAATTATAATAAGTTTTATTTTCGTGAACATCATAAGTTACAGGTGGCTTCTGATGCTGCATCATTTCTAATTTCGTTTTATAATACTCTTGTAGTAAAATACTTGTTTGGTACTGCTGTAATAGCACTAGACGTTGCAGTTCTTTTGTAGTTAATCCTTCGGTTTCCTCGGTTTCGTACTTCTCTGTTGCTAATTTTCTTTTTGGTGGCAATGTCTTCTGAATTGCTGGCGCTGTAATACTGTTTGCTCACTGCGTTTGGTATATAGTTCACTTCCTTCTTCTTGAACACTACCAACCTGAATGGCACCTCTAATTTTCCCAATTGTAGGATTACAGTCACCTTCCATAGCTTTCAGCAACTTTCTTTCCCAATCTAACAATTTAATTGCTTTATTACCAGTTTTTTTTAGATCTGTTTTTTCTTCAATCTTGATTTCATGTTGTTGATTTATTTAATAAACCGTCAGTATCTAATGGTTTATCGAATGTTGATTCGTATTTTTTCAACATCTTCTTCAAGGAATCGTCCTTTCTCATTTTTATTTTTGTAACTTGTGACTTTTGCAAAATAATGGGAGCAATAACAATTTCATTCGCGATGAACTGCAGGTCGTCGCCATTATTTTCTATAGTTTTCTCATCACTTGAGGATGACATGCTTATTAATTTGATAAAAACTGTATCCAGTAAAAATACGGAATGGTCTTGTAAGCTCTGGAGTACAACTGTCAGTGATGCTGAGTGAACGAACTCCCACGTCAACTACAAGCTGGAACAAGTCAGGACATGTCGATTAAGAAACAAATATCAGTCAACCTTTTACTTCTTCTTGGAGGATATCCTCGCGAGTATAAGGTACCCATTATGAATATGGAAACAAGGATATGCTTATACTTCTACCTTTTTCTCCGAAGCAAGACCTTATACTTTTACCTTATGCTTCCGAGGATATGCTTCTCTTTTATGAATACAGCCCAATGATTCGCTGTCGATACTACAATATCTGTTAGTATGTGATTTATCTGTTATTGA